GACCTGTGTAGCATGTTTTGGGTTGATGAGCCATGCTGTGTTAAGTTTAGTTTCTGTAAAATGTAAACAAATGTGCGCAAAGCTGCATTAAACACATTATTACTCAATGTATATTTGAGTCGTCCTCGTAGGAAATTAAAAAAAACAAACTTCAATTATCCACCCACATTCACATTCATAATCCACATTCACCAAGACGAATTACTGGCCAATCTGCCAGTGGATCGTGGACGCCTGAACTAAGGGATCAGTCTCAAGTGTCGTCTGTTTGTTTCACTTAATGCGCCTTATAATCCAGTGCACTTTATGTGTGAAAATAGACAAGAGAATTCAACATTATTGATATTGTGGCTTATAATCCGGTGCGCTTTATAGTCAGAAAAATACAGTAATACTATTAGACTGTATGTAGGTGATTGTTCATCCTCAGAGCCGCCTGGACTCCCTGTACTCAAGACAGTTACAGAGGATGTCTTAGAGTGTTCTGAAAAAACCTGCAACATCCTCTAAACTCAGAGTTTCAGCTGCTTCACTCTGGTTAAAGGCTTTTAGCCCCAAGATCTAGAACAAATCGTTTTAAAAGGAGCTATTGTGCTTGAATGAATAAACTGTAATCTATATAATCTGTTTTGGAAAAGCTTGTTTTTATATATTTAAGGTTTATTGTGATTCTTAGCCAAGTGTGAGGAATGGATTAATTATTTATGGAACAAAACCTTTCTGCACTGGAGCACTGTAACCCTTTATTTGTAATCATGTTTTTTGTACATAACGTGGAAGAATGAAATGTGAAATGTGGGACCAGCCTTTCAAATCTGCAAAACAAATTTACCTGCAGGTACGAATAAAGCAACCTAACCTGATCTAAGGAGCCTGTGCTCTTACAGTTCTACAAACAGAACACAAGTTTGTCTCATTCTCAGTTTATGGACAGGCCTCATGTGAAAACTCAGAACCTCCAGAATTCTCTCCCTGAGCTGCAGAGGCTGCACTAGCACTGATTCACGACTGGCTGGAAGTTCTGGGGTTTAGGCGGTGACCATTCATATCAGAGAGAGACTTAAACCAACTGGATTTCAGCGTTGAATCTGGCAACCCAAAAAAGGCTGCGTTCAGACTGCAGCCTGAACTGACCCAAATCCGATTTTTTGGCCCCTATGTGACTTGTATCTGATCTTTTAATGACAGTCTGAACGACACAGATCAGATTTTTTTCAAATGCGACCCAGGACACTTTGATATGTGGTCCTGAAACGGATACATATCCGATCTTTTGATGTGACTTCAGTCTGAACGGCCAAAGCGCATTCATCCACCTACACGTTATCAACAAGCCACAATCGTCACTATTCTGCACTGAAGTAGGCGAAAATTGTTAATGAACTCCGTGTCACTGAAGCGAAGCACATCACCACTCACCACTCTTGGCTACGTCTCCACATCCACACGTTCCTTTCAACGGGCGTCGCTGCCGCTGCCCCACAAAACACCAAAAACCTCGTCCTTCTCCTTCTCAATCTCCTCCTTAAAACAAGTAAGTTGTTCATGTTCTGGCTCCGGTACGAGAGGAAATTTAAAATCTTCAGGTGCTCAATGCTCGCGTCCATGTTTGGACAACTTCTGTAAACACAGAGACGCTCGCTGCGGTTGACATCGTCGTGTCTCCAGTGCACATGCGGGACACTTTCGGGCTGTTTTATGTTCACACTGGAGTCACATACAAGTCATTGGAAATGTGAACAACCTCGCAAAAATATCGGATTTCACAAAAAAATCGGAATTGAGCATTAAGCCCTGCAGTCTGAACGTAGCTTAAGAGACTCATGTGAGGCTCATTCTGCTTACTGATTGGATAATCGCGAGAACCAAAACACCAAATTATAACATAAACAACTTTCTGTGCCTAATGTTTTTGTAATTTGTAAAAAATAATAAATCAGCATTAGAGTTGTTATCAGTAAAAGTTTGATTTGAACACCTTTTATCTGGGGACAGAGGTCGGTCTAGTTTAAGGAATTTAAAATCTAAAATTACACACAGTTCCTTTAAATAAATGCAATATAGACAAATGTATTGCCGTACTTCCCCATGGAGACAAGCAGGTTGCAGATTTCTCATTAGAAAAGTTCCACCTTTAACACTGATCTCATATAGCAAAGGAATCCCCCGTGTGTCAAATCCGTCCCTCTTCACCTCAGTGTCAGACCGAAAATTTTGTTTTCTGTTTTTTGTGGCGTGAAATAAAATCATTGGATTAACAGCTAACACAACAGCTCGCCGTGTGGAAAAAAAAGTTTTGTGAGAAGCGTCTGACCTGCAGGTGCATCTGGAGCTAAAATCCTCCCGAAATGCCACGTCCGTAATCCATTTGTTTGTTCTCCAAAATGTGAGGGAGTTGGCAGAGCTATAGAAGTACAACTATTTGAAGACCGTAGGCTGCTGTGATGCGTTTAGAGTGCCTGGGAAATTAAAAAAAAATGCATATTACGCTATTTTCTGGTGTATGTTATAATTAGTTTCCTCATCATAAACATACCTGGAGTTTTGTTTTGCTTTGTTTCATTCACACATGTTTAATTCAATATAACTTTCAGAAATTACAAAACTTTATACCCCAACTTCTCTTCGCAGATACTATCTCATCAAACCAAGTCGTAATTAAAAAAAACATCAGTGCACACAAAGACAACGACAGAGGGGATTCAGGAGTGTCAAAACAAAAGTGACACTTAACATTTTCATATGCTGCTTTCAGTGAATATATCATTTTCAAAACAATACGAGGTAGTTTTTGACACTAAGGAAAAGAATCCATACGCAATACTAGGGCTGTAACGGTACCAAAATCACGATTCGATACGTACTTCGATTTTGAGATCACGGTTCAGTTCATTGTCGGTACATTATGGGAACAAAATGCAAAACCATTTGTTTGTATTTTTATTAAACCAACAGTTTGTTTTCACATTATACAAATGGGAAAATAAAATAAATGCAAAGTGCTGCTTGGTAATACGAATAAGTTAAATAAAATATTCTCAAATAAGCAACAAATGTATGAAATATTATAAAAAAGTAAATTCCTTGTAAACAGTAAACAAAACTTTTCAAAAAGTAAAGCGCAGCAATAACAGTTCCGGCGTGAAGTTTTACTCGGTCTTCATATTTTTGGCCAGAAAAAACAACTTGTCCACATTGTTTGCAGTAAGTGTAGATGTGCGAGGGGTGGAGATTCCGTGCAAAAGTGAGGACTGGGGCGTGACGACTGTAGTTTTGCGAGGATTCACGTGGTTCGGAGGGACATAGTCAAGGCGGGGGGCAATTGTTGTCAAGGCGGTCGCCCTAACTATAAAACGCTGCGGGAAACACTGTCACCCCAATCACAGATGAGTTCCTTTGTGAATATTAAAGAGCCGAGCCTTTTGTGTAGCTGCACATGTAGTGGCCGAATGTAAACACACACAAATTGCGCAAACTCACTCGTGCACAGAACTGAACGTCTCATACTGAAACAGTTCGGCACGAATACATATATACCATTATATCCCAACCCGTGGATGGATTTAGACATTTTAAATCACATTATTCATCTAAAATGACTTAATTAAATGAACATGCACAGCCCCGCACCGAAACAGTTTCAGCACGAATACATGTACCATTACTCCTCTACTCAGTACCGATGCCAATACCACAAAACCACTCTTTCTTTAAACAACAGAATGTGATTTTTAACAACTTTTATATCACCTTTCTTTTATATTTGTATCCCTCTTTTGTTTAGGTAGGTTCCATTGTGGTCCATGGGTGTGTACTAGTCTATGTGCTCTTATACTTGTTCTGATACAGCTAAAAATCAAGGTTCAAGGTTCTTTATTTTGTCATTCAAGCATGCGAGAGAAACACATGACAGAACGAAATGTGCTCCCTGAGGCCCAGTGATCCAGAAAGAGATAAAAACTATAATAAATAAGCAATGTTAAAAAGTAAATACATCAAAACAACAACATTTAGCAGTTCCAATGAACAAGTACAAGTAAAAAAACATGGCAAGATAGACAGGCAGCCCAAGCAGGAAGTCAGTGTGCACTGTTCAAAAGTCTGACAGCCTCAGGAAAGAAGCTGAACTTCAGCCGAGATATTCTGGCTTTAATGCTTCTCAGTCTCTTCCCAGAGGGCAGAGGAACAAACAGGTAGTGGGAGGCGTGGGAGGGGTCCCCCATGATCATGTCTGTGTGTTCAGATCATTCTAAAGCATTCAGAAAAGGTTCATTTCTGTCCTGTGAATGACTTTTTTAGTACTAATACCTGCTCAAATGAGTATCTAGCTTCAATAACAATGTTTTAGCAGTTAATACCCCTTAGAACACAGGTGTCAAACATACGGCCCGGGGGCCAGATCCGGCCCTCCAAGACCTTTAATCTGGCCCTCGGCTGATTTTCTACTCAAATATTGTAATGATATTTTCTATTAAAATCTTGTTAATTTTCTGTGGTGTTTATCACAGCAGCGTCTCCAGCGTCTCTGTACGTGGCCCCTCCCACCAGAGCAGCACAAATGAAGACTTGTCTCTTTCCAAACGCTCTTAAAGGACGATCGTTTTGACTGTTGACCGTGACACCCTCATCAGAAAAATGTCCAACATGAGAAAAGTGGAGCCGAGTGCAGGATTTTACAACAAAAATTGACTTATTCCTATTTGCACAAAAGTTAATGTTAAAACATTGTGTTGAAATAGCATTTTTTTTCATAATATTATATTTTGTAAAAGAAAGAGTTCATCAATTTAAAAAGATTTCTGTAATAGATTTGCATTTCTCTGCACAAATATTTGAACTTATTGTTATTTTTGGGGTTTATATGCCATAAATTTTGTGATCCGGCCCCTTTAGGATCAAACTAGGCTGGATACGACCCCCGGGCCAAAATGAGTTTGACACCCCTGCCTTAGAAGTTTAATACCTCCTCTTTAAACATCTCTCATGTCCTTGTTCCACAGACACCATGATCGGCACCATCATCACCACGGTGACGGGAAACGACGTGGACTCGGGGCCGGCCCTGTCCTACGCTCTGCAGCTGGACCCCGACACCCAGGGCCTGTTCGGGATCCACCGCTTCGGGGGAGGGGTGTCTCTGACCGGGGCCTTGGACTATGAGACCAGGTCTTGGTACAGCCTCACCATCCACTCCTCCGACTCCAAACACCACAGCGAGGCCAACCTGACCGTGCTGGTGGAGGACGTCAACGACAACAGACCCGTGTTCACCCAGGAGCTCTATCAGGTACGGACACGCTCACCAGGTCAACGCCAGGCTGGAAGATGAATCACAATCGAATTAAAATGATCAGATATTTGTTCTGGTTGTTGATCGGTCAAGTGCTATTCTTCAACGAGATGTTATTAATTGTCTGGTAATGAATCTTTTTATCATGATGAAGATGAAACCAGACATTTGACGACCCCCCCTGAACCCTTAATAACGACTTTTGACACCTCCGCCGTATCACTAGACGAGATTTGACGACCTTTAGAAATGGCTCGGTTTTTCACATTTAAACAGAAACCGTGATCGGTGGGGCCACTACAACCCACACTAGACTGACCAATAGGATTCAAGGATATGTTTTCGCCGATTTTTTCCGAAGTTAATTGAAATAGTGACGATGGTAGCTTCCGGAAAAAACACAACACGAAACACGTGCAATGGAAAGATCGCGGCGCTGCGGCGCACAGTTTTAGAAATAATGAGGAGCGGACGTATTTTATGGATAAGTTTAGAGAAAGTGACTTTTATAGATTTCAAAGTGATGATGTTGAAGTTGATTATAAAGTGGAAGCGATAGCGACGGACTTTCGGGGAGAAGGTGAGATGCCGCTGATGCGTCTGTGTGGAGTCCTGCGATGTCCCAACAAACTATCTGAGCTTTATACTCGATTATGAACCAAAATTGCCCTGAAATCTGGATGTTGCCCAGGTTAGTCCTTTAAAATATTTCAGTCTTTTTTTCCAAGATGCGATGTATAACAGAATCACTACAGAAAAAACGCTCATGTGGAGCTCTGCACACGAGAAAGTAAACAAGATGACAAATACTGGACACACACTGACGGGGAAGAGTTTTATTATTATATTATCATATTATAATAAGCTAAATGAGTTGAATAAATAAAATAAGTTGAATAAGTTAAATGGAAAAATATTTATTGGGTGCACACAGGTGTACAACAGGTAAAACAGGTGTACACTTGGCTATACTGTATCTGGTGATATGAAATCTGTTTAAATACTTTGACAAAGTATATTTTTTATTTTTTTATGAATCTAGTACTCAGAACATGCAGATATCAGATGCTGAATGTAGTTTTTTGTTTTCGAGTTTGCACCTGACCAGGTAAACTCTCATTTTCAGTGAGCTGTTATGCACCTATAAATGAGTTGAATCACATTTAAACATCCAGAAATGAATAGTTCAGAGTCTAAGGTTTCCAGAGATACAAATATGTCTGTGTTACAATTAAGTTCATGAGTGTAAGTGGAAGTCTGTTTTCTTTTATGCAATTATGCTCTATGAGTAGAACTAGTAACATATGTATGGGTTGTTCCTAGTAGGCGTCCAGGGGGGAAAGAGTTAAAGGTCAGATCAGTGGTGTAGCGTAGTTGTGCAAGGCCCCGGTGCAAGTCTGGGGCCCCTCCGTCCAACCCACGCCTTCGACAAACTTAAATCCAATTCCCGAAATACATAAATAGAAATCAGTTAGTGAGATAAAGTATAATTTGCAGTTGTTTATGTTGACAGTCGCTTATACTGAGTCTGTATTGAGGAGGGGGGGCAATTCTTAGTATTTCTGAGCAATAAAACCACCTGTAATTGAATAAATGTAAGGTAGAGCTGATTAATGTCGTACTATGGAACATTCCAGGCTGAGAAATGAGATAGAAACAAGCAGGTGATGGACTCCTAAATAAAAACTGCAACTTTTACAACACTGCGTTTCTCAGTCGCCTTTGTGTCTCAGTCAAAGGTCTCAGAGCAGTTTAACAGGACGAATAGTCAGGTAGGGTCAGCAGGTGAATATAACAGGAAAAACCTCAGTCTTTTCCCGCTCTGTTGTTTCGGTTGGTGATGAAACGGTCCATTTCCTTAAAGCAGGGTTCCCACGGTCAAGTTTCCAGGCCTGGAAAAGTCATGAAATTTTGTAAATTCGATGAATGATTTGGGAAAAGTCATGGAATTTTAGTATCTCTTCCACGCAACTACAGCGTTCTGTTAAGTTATCAGTTTGTCCAAGAAAGGGTGGAAGTCTTAAGCAGGAGAAGTTTATTTACCATCAATAATATGGAAAAGTCAACGTAGTCTGATTTCAAAAGTGAACATACTGTGATCTTTGAGTGTTCAAGCCCCTTGACTCTGATTCCAAAGGAGGAGGTTTATAAAGCAAGTGTGGTGAGACTATGAAGACCAGAAGACATCGGTTTGGCAGCAACATGCCACAATTTACATAATGGTATCCAAAAGGGAAGATCATGGTGTTAATATGGCTTTTGTGAGTCAATGTTAAACTGAGATGTACATGGAAGATAAATTCCTTATACTAGGGGTGTCCAAACTTTTTTTATCAAGGGCCACATATCTAAACACAGACCAATCAGAGGGCTGATCAAGGGCCGTAGATTGACGCTCAGTACAGTTAATAATTCAATGTGCATGTTTAACATGTTAGAATGATCCATCAGTCTTTCATTCATGCTAAGATCCTTAAAACCACACACTAAATATTCAATATTAGCTTTTTCAAGTAGATTTTCTAAAAACTTGCAGTAAAAAGTTAATTGATGTAAGGTAATTTGAGCCAAGTCACCTGGAAGCCTGAGGGTCAAGAAAAATTTGTCCAAGGGCCGCATTTGGCCCATGGGCCGTAGTTTGGACATGCCTGACTTATACGCTCTTACAATCATTAGGCTGTTATGAGTATTTCCGAACGTCTGCACCTTATGTTTAAAAGAGACGACAATAAATGCACTGACAGTATTTTGAATGTTAAAAAAACTATAAAACCAAACCATAAGGTGAGTGGAAAGGGTTAACATTTCATATTTAACCCTAAAAGTCTGATCAATTCATGTAGGTGCTGTAAAGTCATGGGAAATTCACTTTAGGACATGAAAAAGATTAGAAATTTCATCAGTGAAAAAGAAGTTCTCGCTCTGGAACTTCTTGCGCCTTATTTGTCGCAACATATGGCGCGAAAACCCTGTGGCGTCTCAAATGTCCGCGGCCAGCTCCTTCGTTTCCTCGTTAGTTGGAACTTGCACGGTTTCCATGGACTCAGAAAACAATTCAACCAACAGACAATTAATTTAATACAATCCAGCAGTCCTTTACTTGTGTTGTGCTCTTTGAATATGAAGGTCCAACCTGTTCGAGGAGCTAAAAAAAACACTTACAAAGAAATCTTTTAATACTGTACGAGCGGCTCGATTTTTCATGAACCACTATTCACCATTTTGTTGTGGAACGCGGCGTCCTCTGCACATCCGTAACACCTCGCCTCTGTTTCTGTCCTTGTTGACATGTTTGTGTGGGTAAGTGTCGTATCTGCGGGCGGTGAGCGTGAGGTTAGGACGCCCTCCGCACCAACGCTCGCATGTCCTGTTTTGAAGCGCTCGCAGTTTTAGATGTGGAGGAAAATAATGAATCAAAAGTTAATCAAAATTATAATGTGAATGGTCATAATTAACGGAACACAAAAGATGAAATTTGCAGTTCCAGAAGTTTTACAGTTACACACCTTGAAAAAGTGATCTCTGAATGTGCCGTTTTCACATTTTTTCATATTAAAACTTAATTAAAAGCTATAAATACACACATTTCATTATTAAACCTTTTAGCCAACGGAAAATCTAATACCAGCAATTTATATGAAATGCAGATTTTTAATTATTATTTTCCAAAACGAGCACATGCAAGATTAGAGGAGTGTAATGTCCTTCGATGAACCATTTCTCATTTATTAATTTATAAACTTTTTATTAAGTTTCAAACCTGGCAGACCTCCACATGTATGGTCCTTCTATTAGCGGTTTTAATAATGAGTTGGGTACATTTACGTGACCTTTAAAATCGGATAATAAATGTATTTTTTAGAGTAACTGTTGTATTTTGAAGACAAAGCAGAGTGAATGTTAAAATAACAGTTTCAATCTCTTACATATTTTCTTTCATTTTTGTCTTTGCCAAATTAGTTTGTCCTTTTTGCATAATTTTCCTTGCCAAAATCAGGTGTGAAAGAAATCATTTTGCGCTCATCAGAAATCTGCGGTTACCTGCATACTAAAAATTATTATCAGATTTTTTTAATAGTTATAAGACTTTTACAATGACATGCAAACAGCTGAACGATCTGATGTTTCTGGATCATGGTCGCTGGGATCACACACATGTCAGACTTTGTAGTTTCATTTAAATAATCTTAAAGGTCCAGAAATCATAATCGGATTTTGGTGTGTGTATGAACAAAGCCAGTGTTTGCGTGACATTTCAATTATCTGATAAATCCAGAAATCAGATCAGGATCAGATTTTTGGTGCACATGTAAACATAGCCTGTGTTTTAATATTTCAGACTAAAATGTGTTGTTTTTAAAGGCTTATTGTGCTCGTGTCGCTCTGTAGTTATAATCTATGACAACCAGAAGTGGGACTTGCAAGTCTTGACTCGAATCAGACTTGAGTCACTATTTTTAGGATTTGAGACTTGATTTGATAAAATGAACTAAGACTTGGGACTCGATTTGAAATTCAGTGACTTGGGACTTGACTCAGACTTGAGGCTTGTGACTTAAGAAGCACTTTTCTAGACTATTAGACTATTCTGACCAGGGATGGGCATGATTAGTCGATTAATTGATAATTTATTCATTAATTCATTAAGAATTTCATCGATTACGTTCATTTTAATCGACAAACCGAATGTAGGTTGCTGGGCGTAGCGTGAACAAACAGGTCTGTACATGTGTCTCTCTGCACTCAGCAAACAGTCGGTCAGTCTGCAACGTGCCGAAGTGCAAATGCGTATTTAACGATGACTTGTACAAGAAATTCCACGCTTTCCGTTGCGTTCGGGACAAGAAAAAGCTTTGCCAGGTGAGACTAGCGTAATGTCAATGACAGGTCCCCACCTCCCAGCCCCCGTACGGTGTCCTGGTTTTGACAAATGCAAATATGGTCACACTAACCTGTATTCCACTGAGTCGTGTCGCATCAGCGCACAAGAGCTGTTTTTTTTCTTTACTTAGTTTATGCAAATTAGCCATGTGGTTTTAAGTTTTGTTTCTGTGAGAGTTGCACAAAGCTGCATTAAACACATTCTAATGTCAAACGGGCTGATGTGGCTCTAGAGTCGTTACGGTTTATATGTCGTAAATATGTCGAGTTTATTTATGCAGATTAGTAGTGCAGATAGTAATAATAATGATGATAAATTTTAATATGAAAAATGTTAATGATTAATCGATAATCGATCGTTAATTCTCCCGATGATCGATTAAGAAAATTTATTCGAATGCCCATCCCTAATTCTGACCGTAATGATTCACACTAAGATCTTGTGAAGACATTTAAAAAGGAAAAATTAACATGTCTACAACTTACATACTCTTTAAATACTCAAATATAAATATACTATGACTTTATGAGTACAGTTTATCTTAAAAGTCATATAAACTGCAAAAATCTAAACTATATTTGGTACTTTGGTTTAAAGACTTGAAATGACTTGAAGCTCAAAGCAGACGACTTGGACCTGACTTGGACTTATGGGCCAGTGACTCGAGACTCGACTTGGATTTGCCTGTTTTTGACTTGGGACTTGAGGTCAAAGACTTGAGACTTGCAAAACAACGACTTGGTCCCACCTCTGATGACAACCATGGATCGTGTTATAATCTGGAAATTTTATAGCGCAAAATTCATCTTTAACTACTCAAAAGAAACAAATCCACTGACTACTGCAGATCACTCTAGCAAGAAGGGATTATTTTTCATTTGTACCGAAATAACTACACGACGGTGCCATATCCTACATGTATCACCGATGAAGAAAATGAGATGAAATGAAAGAAAGAAGTAGAAAGAAGTGAGGTGAAACTGGGGTCTTGACAGTAAGTAATTAAAGATTGCTAAAACATGCATCAAATACCAGTGGTGTAATAGGGATTTTTTTTTTTTTTAATCAGTGGAGTTGCGTGATTCGTGGTGTCATTGTTCTGTTGCTCAAAAAACAATAATTCCTTCTCTGAATAGGAGTGATTCTCCACAGATCTGATCTTAATCTATAGTGTGAAACATTCCAGACAAAACAATAACATCTCAGACAAACAGGTGGTGGACCCTCCACTAGAAATGTTATACAGTGTACCTTTAAGTATCCTAATGGCATAACCTTTCAAAATTGCTACCATATTTTTCAGACTATAAGTCGCACCGGAGTATGAATCGCACTTTTCGGGGGAAATTTATTTTATAAAATTTGAGACCAGAAAGGCAAGTTCTAGTAATAACAATAGAACAGAGAACAACAGACTGTTAACGTTACATATGAACAGTTCTTCAGATAAAATATAACATAAACAACAGAACAGAACAAGTTTAACAAACTCTCCATCTCACTCCAAATCACTAAATCCATTCAATTCTTCATCCTTGGTGTCACTTCTGAGCAACTCCGCAACTTCCGTAGATAAACTCAGCGCCGATTCCTCTGTGTAGCTGTCGTCAGACTCAGCATCAGTTCCAGTTAGAATTATTCCGGCCTTTCTGAATCCCGACAGGATGATTTCAGTTGTCACTGAAGTTTAGGTTTTGTCGATCCATCCACTGACTTCCAGGAAAGTTTCATGGTGCACCCTTCCGGTGTCACAAGTTTCTCACTCACTCAAAACTTTCTTTCTGCTCCTTGATTAACATCTTTGGCTGAATATTTCATGACTTGCAGCTTGGAATCTACAAAATATGATTTTCTTTTTGGGGCCATTTGTGTTCAGTCTTCTCAGTCGTCTTTATAAGTTTGTTAAATTTGAAATTTTCAGTGGTACAGAAGTAATGGTGCGATCGACTGACATGATACAGACAGGACAGAGGATCTGCGCAGTAAACGTAGGTGAAGTGACAGGGTGGTACAGGAGGAACAGGAAAAAGACAAACAGATACTGACTGAAAATGCAGCGTTTACCTCTGGAGGTCGCAGACTTCCTCATAAGTGACACCGAGGATGAAGAATTCAATGGATTTTAGTGATTTGGAGTGAGATTTGGAGAGTTTGGTAAATTTGTTCTGTTCTGTTGTTAGACTAGTCTGTTATCGAACGACTGAGTTCATATGTGACGTTAACAGTCTGTTGTTCTCTGTTCTGTTTTTTTAAAGTTTACTGTGACTTAAAGAAGGGTCTTTCAAACTGGTGATAAAAATGTCGGTTCCTGGTCTCTGATTTTATAAAATATATTTCCCCAAAAAGTGCAACTTATAGTCCGGTGCAACTAGAGCCTAGAGCCTCTCGCAGTTGTCAGTGTGAAAATTTTAAGATATAAGTTGCACCGGAGTATAAGTCGCAGGAAACACCCAAACCATGAAAAAAGTACAAAAAATACGGTACAATTGTCTGCCGAACTTCAGCGCCTGTATCTATTTCCATACCTCCCCCGTTTGGTGTATTGTTGCTGAACAGTAGTTAATTACACGTTCTTCTTCTTCTTCTTCTCCCCAGGTTACCGTGTCCGAACACCTCCCGGCGGGCAGCGCGGTCGTCACGGTAACAGCCACCGACCGAGACTCGGAAGACAACGGAAGAGTCACCTACAGGGTCGCGTCTTCAACCAGGGGAGCTTTCTACATCGACCCCAATAACGGTGCGTGAGAAAAAAAAAAAAAAAACGCTCCTTATTGGCCTTCGTGACACCGTAATCATAAAGTCACTGGCGCCGCAGAAACGCACGAATTATTGGATTCTGAAAAGGTTTCCGTCACAAACCGTGCAATAATGTTGTTGATTACAGACGGAGGAAGGCAATATTCAAGGTTATTTGGCTCTGATGTTTTGTTCGAGATAAAATGGCAAAATGCTTGTGGTATAAAAGAAAATGCTTTTGCTTAATCTAGCATGAAGTCTGTAGCTCCAAAAACTCATAAAATACCCATAAACTCAAACCATTAATGAAACATATTATCAAAGTGTATTTGCATAAAAAATAACTCCATTGGCTGTTAATTTTTATTTTCTGCACCCTGTAACTTTTGTGATGGAGGGTCTGTTCACGGCCCGTCTCCGTAGAAATGTTGATTTGAGTGTTTCGTCCCGCAGTTTGGCATTTAACCTTTTCTCAATCTTGAATTTATTTAATTACAGGTGTTTTTATAGGTATGTAAATGCGCTGAAAAGCATGGCATTCTTACTATAAGCGGGCTTGCTTCTCCATAGATCTGACTTGGCTTGGAGATGCCGCCTGCTTGTCTCTTCTAAACGGCTCGTTCAGACCAGAGCATCAAGGCAAAGTCTATCTATAGGATTTAGTGTCGGCGTGTCTTGAGCATTCTGGCGTCGACGCTCTAGACCAGGGGTTTCAAACTTATTTTGGTCCGGGGGCCGTATCCAAACTACTTTGATCCCAAAGGGGCCGGATCAGAAAACTCATGTCATATAAACCCCTCAAAATAGCAATAAGTTCAAATATTTGTGCAGAGAAACACAAATCTATTACAGAAATCTTTTTTAATTGATGAACTCTTTCTTTTATAAAATATTATAATATTATGAACAACCTGAAACTTTAAGAAAAATGTAATTTCAACACAATGTTTTAAAATTAACTTGTATGTAAACAGGAATAAGTCAATTTTTTCTTTTAAAATCCTGCACTCGGCTCCACTTTTCTCATGTTGGACATTTTTCTGATGAGGGTGTCACGGTCAACAGTCAAAACGATCGTCCTTTAAGAGCGTTTGGAAAGAGACAAGTCTTCATTTGTGCTGCTCTGGTGGGAGGGGCCACGTACAGAGGCGCTGGAGACGCTGCTGTGATAAACACCACAGAAAATTAACAAGATTTTAATAGAAAATATAATTAAAATATGTTAGTAGAAAATCAGCCGAGGGCCAGACTAAAGGTCTTGGAGGGCCGGATCTGGCCCCCGGGCCTTATGTTTGACACCTGTGGTCTAGACGCTTGTCCAGGGCGTCGGCGTCAGAAGTTGAAAATGCCGTAGTTTTCGTTTCAGATGCGTCAACCAATCAGAGACGAGTATCCATTGACGTAGTGAAGTTATTATCCGGAAGAAAGAGAAAGACCCGAGAACCAGAGCGGGAGTCACAGACATTAGTGGAGTGTAAATATATATGCGCCGCAATCAGATCAGCAGATCGCGAGGACTACACCAGAACCGGATCAGGACTAGATTAGACCAGGACTAAACCAGGACTAAACCAGGACTAAACCCGGACTAGACCAGGACTAAACCAGGACTAGACCAGGACTAAACCAGGACTAAACCAGGACTGGACCAGGACTAAACCAGGACTAAACCAGGACTAAACCAGGACTGAACCCGAACTAGACTAGGACTAAACCAGGACTAAACCAGGACTGAACCCGAACTAGACTAGGACTAAACCAGGACTAAACCGGGACTAAACCAGGACTAAACCACGACTAAACCACGACTAAACCCGAACTAGACTAGGACTAAACCAGAACTAAAAAAGGACTGAACCAGGACTAAACCAGGACTAAACCCGGACTAACCCAAGACTAGACCAGGACTAAACCCGGACTAGACTAGGACTAAACCAGGACCGGACCAGGACTAAACCAGGACCGGACCGGGACTGGACCAAGACCTGACCGGGACTAGATCAGGACTAAACCAGGACTAAACCAGGACTAGACCGGGACTAAACCAGGACTAAAACAGGACTGGACCAGGACTAACCCAGGACTAAACCCGGACTAAACCAGGACTGAACCCGGACTAACCCAGGACTAGACCAGGACTAAACCCGGACTAGACTAGGACTAAACCAGGACCGGACCAGGACTAAACCAGGACCAGACCGGGACTGGACCAGGACTGGACCAGAACTGATCCAGTGTTATTAGTGGAGTACACATATATTCATGCCACAGCTGTCGAGTCGATCTCCTCCGCTGATGGTTTTATATAATAAAAACATTAAAGTCTCTCTCAGTCTGGTCTGACATCATTTTGGGAAAAGACCGGGACCGGACTCTTGTTTCCAGGGTCAAGGGACGCGCGTCCAGTATTTCTCTCCCGTTCGTATACGGTGTCCAAGACATGTGTCGGGCGTCTGAACTCCAACGCAAAAGCGTCCAAATAGAGGCGTCTAGAGCGTTGTTTGATGTTGCGGTCTGAATAAGGCAGATTTAAAGACTCCATATTAAGCCACTTTCTGATTTTGTTATAATTATGGATGTAACAATAACTGAAATATTGTGATATTGGAATATCTAAAAAAAAAAGACAGAGAGAACTACATAGACCATGATCCTTTGCTCCATTTCAGCGTAAACTACAAGAAGAAATAACAGTTCTAAGCACTTTTAAGTCTTAGTTTTTTGGATTAAGTCTTGTCAAGGTTATTATTATTGTTATTGTTGTATGATTGGATATTGTTACATCCCTAATCTCCACCATATCGTGAGCTTTTCCACGATATCGCAATAAATATCGTATTGTGAGACTTGGATATCGTTACACGCCGAGTTATAATGTTTCCTCATGACAAACAAACCTGGAGTTGTGTTTTGTTTCATTCACAAATGTCAAACAAAGTGCTGTCATTTGATTTGATTTGTTTTTATTTAGAGTTTGTGCCAAGAAATTATCACGCCTACTACATATACTTCTTGAAAAGGAGTGACAAGAAGAAAAACTTATATTAACCCACCCATATTCATTACATTCTTTCAAAAATATGTGATTGCAAAATAAATTACATACATTAATTATGTTTTTAATTATAGTCAGTTAATTTACAGTTGTTATAATTTCCAGTTCGCTTGCAGGAGAAAGAAAAATTGTATTTGGATGTCTTTCGATAAGTGTTTCATCTTGTATCGTGGAGCTTGTTTTTGGTTTTCCACCAGTTCAGGGCTTATTTTTTACAAAGAAATCATTACAGTTACAATACTGAGCATGTCGTCTATCACTCCATTCATTTAGTAATGCAGGAAGTGCTCCACTATGTTTTTAAACTCTATGTACACCTTCAGTCATTACTTAACAAACGGTCAAATGTAGCTCTTAACTTCAGTCACTATTTTTAGGACTTGAGACTTGACTCGATGAAATGGACTAAGACTTGGGACTCGATTTGGACTTGAACCTGTGACTTGAGAAGACTTGATGCTTCTCCTAAAAAAATATATGTTTTTAGAAAATACTTTTCTCTTTACAGTTGATAAATGCAGTGCTTAAATTTACAGAAACAAACTGGAACATGTCCCTCTCACTTCTCTGTTTGTACTTTGGATGTAACTGAAGTACTGTGGTGTAGTATCCTCAAATGTACTACAGTAATACAGTACAACACAGAGGGAACTACAGAGAACATGATCCTTCCATTTCAGGGTAGACTAAACAACATAATAACTGTTATTAAGCTCTTTTCAGTCTTAATTCTTTCTATTCTGACCGTAATGATTCACACTAAGATCTTGTCAAAACATTTAAAAAGGAAAACTTGCATTTCTATAACTCTTATATAAATACTCAAATATAAATATACCATGACGCTTTTGGACAATTTAGTTTAAAATTCATATAAACCGCAAAAATCAAAGCTTTGGTTTCAAGACTTATAATGACTTGAAGCTCAAAGCAGACGACTTCGAGGACTTGACTTGGACTTATGGGACAATGACTCGAGACTCGACTTGGATTTGCCTGTATTTGACTTGGGACTTGACTCGGACTTGAGGTCAGAGATTTGAGACTTGCAAAACAACGACTTGGTTCCTCTGTCACAAGGTTTAACAGAGCATTTTGAACTTTGGAGATGTAAACAGACATGTGTGAATGAAACAAAACACAACTCCAGGTCTGTTTTTGAGGAGTAAACAACATTATATCATAGATTAAAGCTCAAACGGGTCCATTTTGCATAATATAGGACCTTTAATGTCATACTGTGGAACATTATAGGCAAAGCAATAACATTTCCACGGAGAAGCAGGATCCCTCGACCAAGTAACTTAACAATCGTGCTCCTTCTGCTTCCTCCCACGTGAGAATACACAAAATAAATGAACAATTACTGAAGTTAAGCAGTTTTATTACATACAAAACACTGCCAAATATAAAAGTGAGCCAAGGTTTCCTAGACGACGGGCGCTTCAAACACCACAAAGTACATCATTCATTAACTATCACAAGGATTTACACAGTGTTTGTAAGTAAATGAATACATATACTGAAAATACACATTCAGAATACTTTTTTTTTTTTTTTTTTTTTGAGTGGTACTTTCCTAAATTGAAAGGAATACGTGGAAGTACTTTATTATGTAATTTTGGCTTTGAGCTGCATGGTATTAGTGAGCAAAAAATAAAAGTAAACAGTTCAGACAGCGTGCGTGTGTGTAATTTACTGTCTCAAGTCGGACATAAGCTAATGCATAACAAACAGAGCAAGGAAATAAAGCAGCTTGTAATACTGTGTAAACAAAAATCAAAATATAATGCAACTCTGTATAAAAGTATTAAGAATACAGGACTGGCCAATGTCCTCAAGCCTTTTTTTGCTCCACGGACCAGTTTTATATCCGACAATGTTTCGTGGACCAGAGGGGGTTATTTTAGAGCTGGTTTAAACCTGGTTCAGACCTGTTTTAGACTCTGTTTTAGTCCTGGTTCCTGGTTTAGACCTGGTTTAGACCTAGTCCAGATCTGGTTAAGTCCTGAATTAGACCTGGTTTAGTCCTGTTTTAGACCTAGTTTAGACCTGGTTCAGAGCTGTTTTAGACCTGTTTTAGTCCTAGTTTAGACCTGGTTTAGACCAGTTTTAGTCCTAGTTTAGACCTGGTTTAGACCTGTTTTAGTCCTAGTTTAGACCTGGTTTAGACCTGTTTTAGTCCTAGTTTAGACCTGGTTTAGACCTGTTTTAGTCCTAGTTTAGACCTGGTTTAGACCTGGTTCAGACCTGTTTTAGACCTGTTTTAGTCCTGGTTTAGACCTGGTTTAGACCTGGTTCAGACCTGATTTAGATCTGTTTTAGTCCTGGTTTAGACCTGGTTTAGGCCTGGTTCAGATCTGGATAAGTCCTGGTTTAGACCTGGTTTAGTCCTGGTTTAGTCCTGATTTAGACCTGGTTCAAACCTGTTTTAGACCTGTTTTAGACCTGTTTTAGTCCTAGTTTAGACCTGGTTTAGACCTGTTTTAGTCCTAGTTTAGACCTGGTTTAGACCTGTTTTAGTCCTAGTTTAGACCTGGTTTAGACCTGGTTAAGATCTGGTTCAGACCTGTTTTAGACCTGTTTTAGTCCTAGTTTAGACCTGGTTTAGACCTGTTTTAGTCCTAGTTTAGACCTGGTTTAGATCTGGTTCAGACCTGTTTTAGACCTGTTTTAGTCCTGGTTTAGACCTGGTTTAGACCTGGTTCAGACCTGATTTAGATCTGTTTTAGTCCTGGTTTAGATCTGGTTTAGACCTGGTTTAGGCCTGGTTCAGATCTGGTCAAGTCCTGGTTTAGAACTGGTTTAGTCCTGATTTAGACCTGGTTTAGGCCTGGTTCAGATCTGGTCAAGTCCTGGTTTAGAACTGGTTTAGTCCTGGTTTGGTTCTGGTTTAGAGGTGCGGAAGAAGAGGGATGGTCCACGCGGCGTTTGGGGGGGGGGATCCCTGCATTACAAAATACATTTTAATTCAACTAAATATATTTTCAAAGTATTCTTCACATCACTGCTTATAAAGAAGTTCAGTGAGATCAAATTGTTATTTAGTTCTGCTTTAATAAACAAATAAAATAAAAATGAACAATACTGAAACACACAATTAACAAAATCTTATTGGATTTTATTACGTTAATGATACTATTTGTTTATTTTACTTATATTATTCTTTTTTTTTTTCCCTTCTTTCTAGGCACCCTGTTTGTCAAGCAAAAGACTGAGTTTGACTTCGAGAACCCCTCCATCCTGGTGCTGGTCGAAGCTCGGGACCACGGGACGCCTTCTCTCTCCTCCGTCGCCACCGTCCAAATCCAAGTGTCCGACATCAACGACAACGCCCCCATCTTCCACCAGTCGGAATACAGAGCCACCATGTCCGAAGACAACCTCCCCGGCTCCACCATCCTCACCCTGGAAGCCACGGACGGAGACCTGTCGCGGGACAACTCCGGGTTCGACTTCGCCATCGCCAGCGGCAACTCCGGGAACGCCTTCCAGATCGAGAGCAGCGTCCGATTCCTGGAGGGCAAAGGGTTCCAGACGGTCGGAAGTATCATTCTGGTGGAAGAGTTGGACTTCGAAGCCGTGCCGAAGTATAACCTAACTGTGGTGGTGTCCGATCGCGGAATACCTCAACGGAGTTCCAGCGTGCCTATCCTTATTAGCATTACTGACGCAAACGACAACCCTCCCGCTTTCAGTCGGGCTGAGTACAACATCGTCCTCAGCGAAGGTGCAGCCGCCGGTACGGAGATCTTACATTTATCCGCGAACGACCCAGACTCTGCCCCCAATGGAGAAGTGCGGTACTCCATCAGTTCAGGCGACGAAAACGAACTATTTCAGGTGGACATGTGGACCGGAGCGTTGAAACTTCGGAAAACTTTGAAAAGCGAAAGCCAATCTTCGCACATGATTGTAGTTCAAGCGACAGATGGTCAGGGTCACTACGCTTTCGCCCCGGTAACTATCGAGGTAAAGGACATCAATGACAACCGGCCATATTTCCCGCTAAAGCAAGTTACCGCAAGCATCAGGGAGAACCAACCCAAGAATGCCTTAGTTACCATTTTGCACGCCATCGACCATGACAGAGGACCGTACGGACAGTTGAAATACTTCATGGTCGACAATACTAAAGAAGGAAAGAACTCTTTTCTGATCAACCAAACCACAGGCGAAATACGGACTCGCTCTACTTTTGATTTCGAAAAGGTTAACTCTTTTAATTTCGTTGTTGGCGCGATGGACGCCGGGAACTATTCGGCAACGGTGACAGTTCAAGTGTACGTAACCGGAATGGACGAGTACGATCCCGTTTTTACTTCTCCTGAGTTCTTGTTCGAAGTGCCTGATGGGGCAAAGAAAGGACAGGTTATCGGCAGAGTCCAAGCCAAAGACGAGGATGGGGGTGTAGACGGAGTCGTGCTCTACTCCATGCTCGACCCATCTCCTTATTTTGAAGTGAACAAGTCTAACGGAGAGATTTCGCTAAAGATGGACAGCTACAGTCGCCAAGTTAGCCGTTCGAAAAGAGAGCTGCGCCAAATGACTCTAGAAGTTACAGCGCATAGTCCCTTGGAGACATCCCGAGTTGCAGTTGCCAAAGTCATCGTAGACGTCACGAATACTGCGTTTGGCATTCCTACCGACATGAATACAGTGCTTGTTAGTGTCATCGCAGTATCGCTCGGCACCATAGTCATTCTAATACTCATCGCTTTAGCTTTGTTTTTCATGAAACTGAGACGTCAAAGAAAGTACCACAAGGGCCACGGGCGAAAGTCAGGGTCCAGCACGATGATGCATCGGTTTGAGGAGACCAAAATTGCCGCGAATGAAATTATCTATCACCAAGCTCTCCCGGGATATACAACCGAAAGTAGCAGTAACGCCGGTCCTTTCACCCGTGGTGGATCTTTGGACCCGTCCCACTCCAGCGGGCGAGGTTCGGCAGAGGCGGAAGCAGCAGAGGATGATGAAATCCGAATGATCAACGAATATCCTCGAGTTTCCAGTATTTCCTCATCCATGCAGGAACGGATATCAGCCAGAGGTCCTGATTCCGGGATCCAGCAAGACGCGGATCAGTTATCGGATGTGTCCTGCGAGCCATCCATCGACGCTAGCGGGTGGTTCAAGAAGAAAAGCGGCAGTCTAAACGGGTCCATAGTGTCCGGTTCCATGTACAGGGATGACGCGAGTAGCTATGTGAGCGTTGGAAGAGGGCTCAGCATCTCCCACCCAAAGGACTACACCTTCCCGGCGGATGGTAAACCGGCAGTCGACGGATCTCTGACGGCAATCGTGGCGACTGACGAGGAGCTAAGAGGCAGCTACAACTGGGACTACCTCCTCAACTGGTGTCCGCAGTTCCAACCGCTCGCCAGCGTCTTTACTGAAATCGCGCGGTTGAAGGACGAAACCGCCCCGCATCATTCCCGTAGGCATTTCCTCCACAAGGCTAAACTAACGGAGTCCAGAATCGACCCGCCGCCTCTCATCACCTCAGTGGCTCATCCCGGGGCTAAGACTGTACCTCCGAAACCCGCCGTTGGAAGGACTTACCCGCACCTGGGGTCTTTTCGGAGGTCCCCCCTTAGCGACCAGGGATCTATCTCGTCAGTTGCCATGTCGCCAAGCTTCTCGCCGTCCCTGTCCCCTCTGGCGGCGCGCTCCCCGGCCGTCACCCCGTTCAGCGTCTCACAAGGACCGTCTGCGTCTGTCATAAGCGCAACCGACCACCACCTCGAACACAGCGAGGAGGTGGAGCTGAGGATTTGAGCGAACTGAACTCTCGTGCCCCATAGTTGTTGTATACGGAAGCCCTTTTCTGCGGACAAACATGTTCAAAGTAGTGATTTTCAGTTGGTTTGTAATTCATGGAGGTTTTGTATCTTTTGGCTCTAAAATATTTATCTATTCTTTTTTTATTCAGATCGATTTGAGTTATTTGGTGTATTTAAAATTTCAATTTTATCTTAAAGGAACAGTCCAGAATTTTGGACATTGGACCTCATTTCCTAGTGATCCAGAGTGTTGGAGAACATGTGGAGACACTTTTTTATTTAAATATTCCATCCAGTCCTTGTATTTGCAGAGGTCACTGGTGTTAGACTAGTGCATGTCAATGGTCATATTTATCCTGACACTAAAACAGTCTTACCCACTCCTCAAAACACCCAAAGAAAATCTATTATTACACCAGACTGTTGATGTAAATGTCTGTGTTGGCAGAATAATGACCTGGTCCTCGAAGGGTTGACCAGGTTTTGTATTCACCCTGTGTGTCTGTGTCACTAAATTTGGTACGTGGGTCAAGCCCCCTGTGCCCGATGCCACAAAAAAAAAAAAAGTTTGGTGACGATCCAAGGTCATTTGAGGTCACACGGGTCAGTTGAAAGGTCACGCCATTATATAGGATCTCCAATTTAGGCAATTTCTGAACCATCTGCGGGCTGAAATATTCACCCAATCATCACACAAGTTGACACACACATAACCGGGGTAAACTGGATGTTACAGGTTGAAACTGGTCAAAGTCAAGGTAACCAAGGATCAAATATGCGTTTTTGGTCATAACTCCATGAAGGATGGAGCGAGAGCAACAGGAGTGGTCTCAAAATCTCAGAAAAATTAATATCTATTTATAAGTCTATGCATTTTTGTATAGTAAAATAGTTTTTAATCACTAATTATAACAGTTCCTTTCTCTTTCAGTGTGGCCGTTAAAATTCTAATTGGAACGAAAATAATTACCGTTTCTTGTTTTTCTGGTGATACACAACACACTGATCTACAGTCACACAACTAACATATACACAACTCATGAAAAATGACATTTTGGTGACACACTAGTAAACACAGACATTCTCATGTGTGACCAATATCACACAAATGTTCATGGGCCTGTACAGATACACACATTGTATTGTGGATATAACGATCATGTAATAAGGACTGGGCTCCTCATAAGCTGCTTCTGTGGTGATGAATTGACTCACCGACGCCTCACGGGGGACCAGGTCGCTAACTCTGATTGCACTTGTTGTAGAAGTAAAATCAGCCTTGCATTTGAAGGATTTATGTCTGAGCAGTAGCAGCGAGTTGTACTTCCTGACTGATTTCACAAGAAAATACTCCCTCAACATGTAACGAGTCATGTGATGCAAGGTTAGTTTTATTTCAAACATTATTCTATCCACACAGACATTTACATCAACAGTCTGGTGTAATAATCGATTTGCTTTGGGTGTTTTTAGTGGCAGGATAACTATGGCCATTGACATGCACTAGTCTAGCACCAGCGACCTCTGCAGATACAAGGACTGGATGGAATAATTTAAAAAGTGTCTCCACACGTCTCCAACACTCCGGCTCATTAGGAAATGAGGCTCTATGTCAAAAATTCTGAACTGTCCCTTTAATTTGCATGTTGATGAGTCAAAAATGGGTCAGCAGTTTAAATGAGAAAAAAGTTTTAAGGGTCATGCTTCTGTAAATGATGTTTTGAACTAATTTTGAAGTGATTTTGTTGTAGTAAAAAGAGTCAAAAAATACAAAAATATAAAAATTGACAGTAGTTTTTCAAATGATAACTTAATTTGCTTATTTGTTTGTAGTGGCAGTGAGCAGCTTCCATACCTGTAAGACCACAGGCCATACTGGACTATGCCTTTATCATTTCCTATGGAACTCTTCTCCTGTTGATCAGAGTTTATTTGCACATTCATGCAATGGGGACTCAGTCATGATGTCAATATTTTGTACAAAATCATTGTCTATATTTTTATACTTACTTCCTGACATGAAATGGCATTAACTTGTCATAAGCTAAAATATATTTCTATATTTGTATATTTGTAGCTTGTTGTGTATACATGTTTGTACTGTACGCTGGTTGTATTTTTTTAATTTTTTTTGCTTTCTGCTTTTTCTTTAATTCAAAACCGTGGTTCGAACTGAAGGCTGACATGAATGCTTCATGAGGTGGGAATAATGATTGTAAATATTAATAGTAGAAGACATATTCTTGCTTGAACAAATGGAGGATCAGTGGGAATGGCAGATATTGTATGATGAGACAGTCCTGGAGCTGGTTTTGATCCTACATCAAAAGGTGAGCATGAATGTGAAATCTCCAGCTCTGTCTTAGTTCTTCTGGATCCATTTCACACGGAAAAACGAGAGATGACGTCCAGTAACCTTGGAGGGGCCTGGCTTTAAAGGGGCAGTTCTATTTTGCATTAGGTATATATAAGTAATAGGCTCTGTGCACAACAGTGTTAAGACGGGTTTAGAGTTCAGTGTCAGGCTCTTCAGTGCACGACGCCGCTGTAGAGTTCCAGAGAGTTGTGCTAAAATGAATAAATACTTAAAGATCAGACTTTGAACAGGGAGCTGCATGAGGACGTCGCTGACAAAATCATCAACAACATCACTGGACTGGAGATGATGATGAGTCTCAATGCGAATGCTAATTTCGAGGCATAATAAACCCTAAAACCGCACCACAAACTGAAGTAATCTTCATATAAAATGATTGGGTCGTCTTTAATCTTTAGTCTTGAATTATTTTTTTCATTTTAATAGAAAGTGATCTCGCGTACTGCTGCGCACAAAGCCTATTATATCCTGCAATTCTTCAAAAGCTCCTTTTTTTAATCTACATTTTGTCTGCGGTTCATCACTACATGCCTTACTGGTTTCTTGATTCTTTTTCCTAAATGTGGAACAGACATTTGACATTAAAGTGCTGTAATATTCACCTATTCTACCATTTTGACACAATACTGTCAATTTTTCTAACAAAATATGAAACCTTATAATGAAAAACAAAAAAAGTTGGTAAAACTAGTGTTATAGTTGTAATCAAAAAACAACACCGGGGGAGTTCTGCATGTATGTCTAAGGGAGAATGTTCAGGTGTTACCATGGTGACACAATGCACACATAAGCAAACATGCATTTGATATGTCGGCTACATTCACAAGACTCACACAACAAACTGGGACTAAGTCGGACTGAAACTTGGACTAAACCTGGACTATAACAAGATCAAACAAGACTACATGAGGACTAAACCAGGATCACTTCGCCAAGTTTTCTAAAATGTCCACACTAACATTTTTTCATTGCATTGAATGTTTTCATATCACTTGATGATTTTGTATTTTAACAACAGTGGAATGTAACGAAGTAAAAGTAGTACAGTACTGTACTTAATTACAGTACATACATTTTAAGTATCTGTACGTTACTTGAGTACCGTATTTTCCGGACTATAAGTCACTTCGGAGTATAAGTTGCACCAGCCAAAAAATGCATAATGAACAAGAAAAAAACATATATAAGTCACACTTTTTTTGGGACCAGCAACCGACATTTCATCTTTAAAGGCAAGTTCTAGTAACAACAATAGAACAGAGAACAACAGACTGAACAGGTGTCTGGTATGTCAGCGTAACATATGAACAGATAAATATAGCATAAACAACAGAACAGAACAAGATAACCAAACTCTCCATCTCACTCCAAATCACTAAATCATTTGAATTCTTTATCCACTGTGTCATTTCTGAGCAACTCCGTGACCTCTGGAGGTAAAAGAGCGCCGCTCCCTCTTCTGTGTAGCATTAGTTTCCATTACAATTATTCCAGCCTTTCTGAATCCCGACAGGATGGTTTCAGTGTCACTAAAGTCCAGGCTTTGTCGATCCAGCCAGTGACTTCCAGGAAAGTTGCATGGTGCCCCCTCCCGGTGTCACAAGTTTGTCGCTCACTCCAGACTTTCTTTCTGTTGCTCGATTACCATTTTCGGCTGCATATTTCAGCAGAACACAGGCTCTTTCTGCAGGAGACATGCACAGTAGAGTGAAGTGACAGTGGTACAGGAGTAACAGTTTTAGACCAGAGCCTCTCGTGGCTCTCAGTGTGACAATTTTAATATATAAGTCGCACCAGAGTATAAGTCACAGGAAACACCAAACCATGAAAAAAGTGACTTATTGTCCAAAAAACACGGTACATTTTTCCTGGAATATTTCACAGTATGGTATTAAACACTTCTATCTTCACAAAGACCAACCCAGACTGCGGTACAGGTCAGATCTGTGGAGATGCAACCTGCTCACAGTCAGAATTCCTGTTTTTTTTTTTTTTAAGTATTTCTAAGCTATAAAACCACCTGAAATTGAATAAATGTAAGGTCCAGCTGTTTAATGTCACACTGTGGAACGTTCCAGTCAAAGCAGTGATATATCCATGGAAATCTGTACTTTTACTTACGCAACAACATTAAGAACTGTCAGTATTCCCATATTACAAATGCGTGTTCAGTCCTTCTTGTTCCATATGACCTTAATGAAAACACGCGAGTCTCATTCAAAATCTGCATAATGTTATTCCTGAATTCTCGCCCCACTGACTCTCTTGATCAGGATTGTGTTTTGGCAGGCGTTACCACGTTGAATAATTAATCAGTTTGCAAATGCGGACACCTTGCTGAGTCTATAACGCGTTCCTATGGGCTGTGTTTTTTGTTTTGTTTGTTTTATTTTTTTCATTTATTGAGAAGAAAAAGAAAAAAAAAAAAAAACATTTGCGCAACACTAATTTTCGTTTCTATGCTAATTTATGACGATGCTATAAGATTTAATAACTGCTAAATTATACAAGAGTTGTCAGTTGAAGTTGATTTTGTATGTTTTTTTGTTTTGTTTTTTACCATGTTGTGTCTTCGTGTGCGTCTGAATTTCTCATTTTAAAAGGTGCTGTATGGAAAATGTGGTTCTTAACCTGTTGGGAGCAAAGTGCCTGAATAAAGTACTCATGTGAAGTGTTTGTTTTCTGCTCATTATTTTATTTTTTTATTTTTTTTAAGTAAGTTACTAAACCAGGACTGAACCAGGAC